GGCGATGCCAGCTAATGGTTTGGAAATATACTAAATCAATGGTCCAATGCTGGAAATCACTAATACTATGGCAGAGTATGCATGACTAGGTACATTCCATAAAGTTTCTCTGATGTTTCGATTAAGTTTTTTTTAACGAGGTCAAGCCAACTCCATAAAGGAGACTGCGAACAAACAAATAACTACACTATCTTGGTCCTTTTATATACGACATAGCAGTTTAAGCTTATCTAGTTATTTTCTTCAGCCCTATACCCATTATTTCAAATGGCTATGTAATGTTAACCTTCGTCTTGTAAGTATGGTTTGAGAGATTGACTTAGATCGACTCAATCTACAACGTTTTGGTACCTTTCTAGGATTAACGATAGTCCTGAACCAACTCCCTGCTCAAGTATTTTTGTATACTTTTACAGTGCATCAAAACTCATTTTTAATTATTCCTCTTTACAACTTACTTTTCTACTAACTTCTATTTATATGTTTTGTCTAGCTGAGGCTAATATTCTGCCTCTTTTTTTTTGCATAAATTCGTTTAGTTTCATTGTTGTAAGACGAATGGCAGCATGAACAATATAAATAATAATAGTTACTCCGTTTATATAGCCATATTCTAAGAAAAAATTGCATCGTACAACATAACTATCATTGCTCCTAGCATCATTCAATAAAACCTTCCCACCACCATGATCCCTGATAGTTACGACCTTTATTTTTTAGGCTACAAAAAAACAGATCATTTTCTTAAGAGGCTACAATATCTTGCTCTTTGTATCTCCATTTAATTAAGTTTATTTTTCATTTTGAGTTGGTTCTCGATAATATCTCTTGAGGGAACAATGCTATATGAAATTCAATGAAAATTTTATGTCTACTCATAACATCATGGGAAAATTCATCTGCCAGTCCTTCATTACCCTAAACGAAATAGGACAAACACAATTCATAAGCTTAAGATTAATCTGAAAGATTTTCCAATTTGTTCTTAATTTCACAATTTTTACTTTTGTTGACTTACTTTTATCCTGTAGGTGCTTTACTTAGTATGTCCTCTACTGAGGATTGTTATACTATGCTATATGGAATCCCAGATATATCCACCCGAACTGAAGGATAATGTCTCGAGGACTCCATGGACATCTTTGTAAGATAAAAAAACAGACTTAGGAATCTGCTGTCTTTTTATATGATCGGCCTATGCATTTCTTTATCTCACTATATTAAATGAAAATCAGCCCAGTCCACCAAATCTTTCCCAAATTATAGGTAAAACATTATTGGTATGAATGCAATACTGGCAAGTTGGATGATTATTACACAAATTGGATTGCAAGCTGGGAAATTTAGGCTAGGAATTGTGACCATTGCTTTAATGCATTAAAACCTTAAGATTTTATTTTTGTAGTTATTCTAGTTATGCTGGTATTTGAGAAATCCACTGTCCTGAACATAGGGGGGTACACGTGCTACATGTATATTAAACCTACCAGAAAAGGAGTAGTGCCATAACTTCATTGGTAAAGGATCTTGATTTTTGCAAAAAATTTTTGGAATAATGGCTCATGATCGTCTAGTTTAGTTTTTATTGATCTACTTTATAGTCTTAGAACTAGAAACAAAAAACAAACATTGGCTTATATATATTCTAAAATTCATTTTCATTTTATTATCCACTATTATTCATAGACTTAATTTCTCCAGAGTCAAAATGCATCAGCCAAAGTAGCTTTATTCTATCCACATTTTATTTAGTAACAGAAATCTGCAACTCACCTGGATTGAAAGTGGTTCAAATTCATTTTCACTGCTTGGTCTTGTTACCAAGACAGCCTTGTCGGACCCACCTTGTCTGAAGTTTTCTGCCATAGTAGTTATGATAATTTACGGCGTTGGACCGTGAACTTGGTACATCCCCAGCTTTTTCTCCGACATCGTCACTGATTCTTGTCATTCTTAGCACCAGGCTATAATTCGCCAGTGAGACAAATTAAGTCGGTCTTGAGCAAATTTCTGCCGAGCATTTTGTTATCAATCCTTCGGTTCTAGTACATTTGCCTGCCATTTTCATAACTACCATAGCAGAGGACTTCACACAAAATGCATCTAACTAGGTCTCCCTCATCTGAGCTTATTATTTGAGTTTCTTAGCTTATTTTTCTAAAATACTAATCTGCTTGTTATTACATAATTTTAAATATTATTTTGTGCGCCTGCTCTTTCGGGCTCCAGCTTTGTTGGACCTTATAATTTTTTACCTCTTCGACAGAATTTTCCATACAAGGATAACATTTGTCTATATCTCTGTAAGTGTATTTATATATGCTTTATCCCATGTATTTATATTCACTTTCATCTATTTATTCTTACATTTCCACCTATGCCTACATTACAATTTTTATTATCCTATATTCCTTCTTATCTCTCGCCCTCCATATGCATACGCACGTTAATCACTTTTCCCCCTCTTAATATTCAATTTTCATGACTCAGCCGCCACATGCATCGTTCCTCCTATTTCTTTACCACATCTTGATACTGCTTTATCAAACGCGCCGATTCGTCGAGCCAATAGTTGTGTAACTTCACGGCCTTTTCTTCATAATTGGAGATCATTGGGTCTTACTAATGAATTCGATGAGGTTCGAGTGTCGGGCTCAGAGGAGAAGGACGATACGCACTTAATAGGAAGCAGTTACCCTCATCAACCCAGGGAAGTTTTGTTTTCAGACGCTGATGTCCTACCTACTTCTGTCGGGAAGTATCTATTTGGTGTCGGCTGGGCCGGTTCTGATCAGAAATATGAAAAGAAAGAAATGGGTATGGAAGAAAAGGATGAAGACTATTCTGACGAGGTGACTGAAGGCTATGAGGTGACACCTGATTCTCCACAGTTGGAGGATGGCGTAGCTGTCGAGGCCACAGCTCTGCTCGTAGTTACTAGTGAAGAGGGCGGTGCTCTAGGCGAGAATCGTTTCGGTCGACTATCGAAGAGTGCAGTTGGTGATCTATGGGTTGGTACGAATACGGGCCACCTTCTTCGTCTGCCTTTCATGGAAATTAACTCCAATCAAGGCAAGTAGGCTTCCCAAAGCTTATGCTACTTTTCTGCAATTTTCCTTATATTTTTGGATGCCTGGAACTAAATGGAGATTTACGCCAGTGACAGTTATTCTCGTCGATTGTTAAAACTAATTTACTGCTTCCAGGCCATCGAATTGAGGAACTCGAGTCGTGCTAACGCAATTATCAGCCTACTTTCACACCATAGGTTAATTCTCTCTGCATCCGATTTGTCTGGTCCACTTTTTTATCCTAGGTATTTTTTTAAGAAGATAAAAGGCCTATTAGTGTGAAAATGGCATACTTGTTCCTGAGGTGTCAAGATTGCTAACAAGAACTTATTATAGCAAAATTTGTGCCGCTTGAACTTAAA